AAATAATATTATTAAATATATTAAATAAATAATATTATTAAATATAATATATTAAATAAACATATATAATACAAAAACGGTTTCAGAAAAGAGGGAAGAAAATGAAAAAAAAAAAAGTGAAATCCGTTTTCAGAAAACAGAAAACGAAAACGAGAAAATGAAAACACATTTTTTTCGTTTTCTGATTTCCACAAAAAGACAAAAACAATTTTGGTTTTGTTTTTTAAAAAAATTTGCACCAAACACGTTTTTAACACCCGTTTTCATTTTTTTACTTTGAAAATCGTGAAAAATGAAAATGAAAACACAAACAAACAGGCCCAATAAGTAATAATTAGCCTCTAGCACCAATCGTTGGTTGATCAACAAGTCCTTTCCACGAATGTCTTTTGCATTTGTTGTACTCTTTTTATTTAAACACAAAAAGCGTAATAGTTGTGTATCCAGTGCTGCTATTAGCGGACGTTTAAAAATAACTGCGATATTAATATTTTTTTTTTTTGGCTCATAAAAAAGGAGAATTAGTGGTGCACTTCTTACTTTCATTTTCTTTAGCAATTAAGGTAATTATGGGGACCACTGAGAAATGAAAGAATTAGACTCCATCCGCCCATCCAATCAACTGCGATATTGATGTTGTAATTGGATGTAAAATTCAACATGATACAACGTTTGTTATTGTTTATGGAATAAAATTATGAGATTAGAACTATTTTTAATTTATGTATATTTTTTATAAAAGAAAATACTATAACGAATCATGAACCATGATTCAAATCAGAGAACGAATCCTCCAACTAAACGGGCTCTAGTACCGCTCTAATTTATAGTTGATCTAAAACTGTGTAGCAGCCACAAAAGACAAAAAAAGTGGTTTTACACGAGAGTTGATCTTGCTTACCACAAAAAAAATGCAAAACAAGGGAGTTTGATGCCATAATTGGTTACAGCTAAAAAGCAATTTCGTCAATATTTCTATCGTTTTTGTGATGTGTTGTAGGCTTTGTAGCACAATGACAGAGTCAGAAATTTTTATCAATACGGGTTAATAATTAAAAGAAAATTTTAATAAGGTCATGATATCATCTTTTAAATTTTTAGTGGAGTTATGTGTATATTAAGTAATATAAAATATGTTTATGCACATAGGATTTTTAAAAATAAAATATTGGTGGGGCTTAACCTCACACTGAGCCTTAAATGACTCCGTTAGTGGACAAAATGTTATGTTTATTTCCATGAGAATTTATTTAGCTTAAGCTTTGATATTGCAAAAATGAATAAAATTAGTGCCCTATAAAAAAATTTGGACATTATGAAATTAAAAGAAATCACAAACTATCTATTCTAAACACATGTTTTTTCAAGACTAACGTTATGGAAAAAACTTGCCACGAACATTGAGAAATCAGATGATGTGTTGTTTAAACAGAGATTTAGAACAATGATCTTTCTTTTTAAAATTACATCTATAAAAAAGCAAAATCGTGAGAAAGTCTAAAGGGTTGAGGAATACAAATTTCCTTTGTTTTGTTAAGGTAGATTTCCTCTTCAAACTAAATTGTTTAATCGAATTTCTCTTGAAAAATTAGCCTGATATTGGAAAATTATAACCCATTCTCGGAGCTTTCTGATTACATATACAAGACTACGTGTCAACGTGATGTTGCACTACTGATTAACTTTATAGGCATGAAAAAGGTCTCAAACCAAAATAATTTTAGACACCTTTTAATAATTTTTTAATAATTTTCGAATTAACAGACAAAACAATCATAATCCTTCAAATAAGCTACATCACAAAGCCAAAAAAACAAAAAGATCGAAGTGACTGCGAGTAAAGGGTATAAAGGATAGAAAGGAAAAACCATAACTAGTGCAAGACTGTGATGACTGACAACTTATAATAACGTCGACATATATATATATATATATATATATATATGAATATGTGAATGTGAATGTGAATTTTAGTGATGCTTGCAAGGTTGTTTAAACGGGCCCATGCAACAAGATTCTCTTGACCAAGTAGTCGTGACAGATCACCGGAAGTTTTTTTTTCTCCTCTCATAATATACTCACCGCTCATAGTTTGATACTCTACGACCTTATTTTAAGACACCTTACCGACTAATATGTTGTGCGTTTTTTAAGTGTGTGGTGACATGAGTGAAAAATAGTAGAATTGAATTAAGTTATTTTCATTTCATTTTAATCATCTTTTTTTTTAGGAAAAAAAAAAAAAAAGAAACTGGCCGTGACAAACAGATCTTTGTTCAACAAAGGTCTATACATAATCTGTTGATTTATTGCTACATGAAATTCTAAAAGCAAAGATGTTTAGCAAATCATCACATGATTAAATGAACTTACAAAGGAAATTACATGGGCAGGTTCAGATGTTATAAACGGATAAAGCTGAAACAATTAGAAAAGAAAATTAAAGAGAAAGGCTTAGAACGTGTATCGTGATATTTTTGTTGCTAGATATAATTTTTCTTTGTTGACCGATGACCATCACACTCTAATTAGGTCCATCTTTTCCACAAAGCAATTTCTGTCAAATTAGGCACATAAACAAAAACATGTCGGCCCCGTTCATTTCGCTGATTCGAGTTTAGAATTTGAGTTTTGCTACAGTAAAAAGCTCTCACAAACAATCACTTCTAACTTTTTTACTACAGTAAAAAGCTCTCACATAAAATCACATCTCAATTCGAATTAAAAACTCGAATCAACGAACTAAACGGGCCCGTATCTTCTAATGATCACGACATCAGAGAGACTACTCCACTCTAGAAGACTTAACTCGCTCTACTCGAGAAGACTTAACTCGTCTCTCTCTCTCTCCTTCCAAATGGCTAAAATGAACACAATATCAGAGAGACTACTCCACTTGCAAAGCTTTTGATCTCGTTCATTTCACTAATTCGAGTTTTCAGTTTTAGATTTCTACAGTTAAAAACTATCAAAAAATGTCACATCTATTTTTTTTTTTTTTTTTTTTGCTACAGTAAAAAGCTCTCTGAAAATGTCATATCTCAGCTCGAATTGTTTATCTTCCTCATATTTCTTAGTCATGGAACACTCTCCCAGTTACTTGATAACAAAAGAACAAAGTGTCTAAGGTCCTGTTTATTTTATCGATTTGAGTTTAAAATACGAGTTTTGTTATAGTAAAAAACTCTCAGAAACAGTCAAATCTAACTTTTTTACTATAGTAAAAAATTTTCACATAAAATTACATCTCAATTCAAATTAAAAACTCAAATTAACAAATTAAGCAGACGCTTAATAAAACCTTCCCTTCATGAGTCAGTGGACCCCATTAAACACTTCCCGTTGTTCTAGAATATGATATCCAATATTACACATAATTTTTGACTGGTTTGCTTTCAATGTCATTTAGTCTCCGTTGACCATCAAATCTGTAGGTAGGTCCACCAATGTAAAAATGGAGCCATTTGTCTCCCTCCAAATCATCATCACAGAAAAAGCTCCAAATTTTTTTCAATAAGTTGCCGTTGGTTTTCGCAACTCCATAGCCTGATTGCAAGAAATGCTTTTGCAACACCAGTATTCAAGCAGAAACTTACAAAACTCAGAAACTAGAAAAACTTCCAATCTCTTCGAAATGACTAAAACAAACCAGAAATCTCTCACAATCCCATTTCACATCTTTATCTTCCTCATGATCTTTCTCAGCCATGGAGTACTCTCCGAATTATCACTCCAGGAAAAAGAACGATCAGTCCTTTTGAAGCTAAAGCAACACTGGGGAAACATTTCCTTCATGGATGAGTGGACCCCATCAAACAATTCTCATTGTTCTTGGCCTGGAATCACCTGCACGTCCAATTCCGTCACAGGGCTGTCACTCAACAATGTGAATATCACTGGACCCGTTCCATCCTTCATATGTGACTTGAAGAATCTCACAACCATTGATCTTGGGGATAACTATATCCCAGGAGAGTTTCCAAGAGCTGTTTTCAACTGTTCAAAGCTCGAAGCTTTGGACCTCTCTGAAAACTACTTTGTTGGAACGCTTCCCGATGACATTGACAAACTGGCTAAGCTCCAAAGTCTAGTCCTCGGAGGTAATAACTTCACTGGTGATATCCCACCTGCTATTGGGAAGCTGCAAGAGCTTAAGGTCCTGGCTTTAGGAGGCAATCTGTTTAATGGCTCTTTAGCACCAGAAATTGGTGACTTGTCAAATCTCGAAGATTTGAGGTTGGCCAATAATGGTCTACTTGTGCGATCAGAGCTGCCTTCCAGTTACACCCAGTTGAGGAAGTTGAAAAATCTATGGGTTTCCAGCTCAAACTTGATTGGAGAAATACCGCAAAGTATTGGAGATTTGGAAGCACTGGAATGGCTGGATTTATCCCGGAGTGACTTGCATGGAAAAATCCCCGACGGGTTGTTGATGTTGAAGAATTTGAGCATAGTATACCTTTTCAAGAACAAACTTTCTGGTGATGTTCCTCAAGTGGTTGAAGCTCTGAACTTGGAGATAATCGATCTTTCGGAGAACAATTTGACCGGAAAAATACCGGAAGATTTTGGGAAGCTAACTAAGTTGACAGGCTTGGCCTTGTTTTCCAATCAATTATCAGGCAGTGTACCGGAGGGCATAGGCAGATTACCAGTCTTGGTAGATTTTAAATTGTGGGACAACAATCTCACGGGCGTGTTGCCTCCGGATTTGGGCAAGTACTCAAATCTCAGAGAGTTCCAAGTAAGCTCCAATAGGCTCTCAGGGGAGTTGCCACAACATTTGTGTTCCAATGGTCAACTGGTTGGGGTGGTGGCTCATGAGAACAACTTCACTGGGGAGCTTCCTGAATCACTGGGAAATTGCAACTCATTGGAAATGGTCAAGGTTTCAGATAACAGGCTTTCTGGGAAAGTTCCTAGTGGCCTGTGGACAACCTTGAATTTAACTCTCTTGACGATGAACAACAACTTATTCAACGGTGCGCTTCCTGAGAAGTTGTCCTCGAATCTTATAAGATTGGAAATCAGTAACAGCAGATTTTCAGGTAATATTCCAATCGGTTTATCGTCATTGAGGAATTTGGTGGTGTTTAAGGCCAGCAATAACCTCTTGACAGGAACCATTCCTCAAGAACTAACCACTTTCCGTCATTTGACAATTCTTTTGCTTGATCAAAACCAGCTCACAGGGCATCTTCCATCTGATAAAGAATCATGGGAGTCCCTAAATACTCTTAACCTGAGTAGAAATCAACTTTCTGGACAAATTCCTGAGAAGCTTGGTCTCTTACCTACTCTTACAGAATTAGACCTCTCAGAGAACACATTTTCTGGCCAAATTCCATCCCAACTTGGTCTTTTAAGGCTAATTTTTCTAAATCTCTCTTCCAATAACCTCTCTGGGAGAATCCCGAGTGAATTCGAGGACGCTGCATATGCGGACAGCTTCTTGAGCAATCTTGGCCTTTGTTCTAGTAACAGTGTCTTGCAACTCAAGTCCTGCAATCCAATCTCAACCCTTTATCTTGTTTTGATCATAACACTAAGTGTAGCAGCCTTTTTCTTGGTCTTGTCCTTCACATTCATCATAATCAGATGCTACAGGAGCAAAGACGGGCTCCATTCGAAGTGGAAGCTCGCCTTCTTCCAGAGGCAGAATTTCACAGAATCAAACACTGTGTCCGGGCTAAGTGATCACGATCTGATCGGAAGCGGCGGCTCGGGAAAAGTTCACCATGTTTCTGAGAACCGTCTAGACAATTGGACAACCTGATCAAACGTCGTGATATGGTAAAAGTTTGATCTTTTATATTTGGGTCTGTGTACTTAGAATTGAACATCCAAGAAGGTTTTGAGCAGCGTTAAACTTTGCAATCTGCCTATGGGGCCACCTATGTCAATGGCCTCGCGTTGTGTTTAAACTTTGTTGCAATAAACTGCTATTACCCCTTTGCAATAAACTCTTTTTTTCCTTTTTACATTTTATTTTTATTTTCTTTATATTTTTAGAGAAAGGAAATAGTAAGTAAATAATTAGCCAATAGTACCAATTACTGGTTGATCAACAAGCCCCTTCAATGAATTTCTCCTCCATTTCCTATACTCTTAGCTAAACAAAAGGCTAAGTCGTCCACTGCTCCTATGAGAAACATAAAATGTAGCTTGACACAAGAAACGACAATAAATGTTATAATAGGTAGATTCAGAGTACACAGGGGTTGTTCTTTTGCATTTTTGAGTTCTCGTGACTTAAGTGATGATCTTGAATTAAGTTTGAATTGAAGTTGTAACTTGAGTTTGTGTTTGGATGTGCACATTTGAATTATGATTTGAATTGAGAATATATTTAAGTTTGTGTTTGGGTAGGTCAAAATTTAAAGTTATATTTAGATAGTATTTTAGTAATAACTCAACGGTGATGAAAAATTTTAATAGGGTATATAGGTGGGGTTTTATTCATCTTTTCGTTGTGAATGCATAGAAAAAAAATAATCTCAATCAGAATTAAAACGAAAAAGTTATGATATTTTTAAGAATAGAAAAAATATTGTTCATTAACTTGAGTTCTAGTTTATGAACTCGAGTTGAAGGAGAAACTTGAATTCGAATTTAGCCCTAAAATTGAGTTCAAACTCAAATTTTATGAAAGAACATAAACTTCAATAAAATTATAATTTGAGTTTAAACTTTTTCTGAGTTTCGTTACAAAAGAATAACCCTATAATTATTAAGTTCAAAAGAAAAATGCAGAACAAGGTTGTTTATATCGTTATACTTATTATGCCACATATAGGGGCGGAGCCACCTTAGGCTCAGAGGGGCAGCTGTCCCCCGGCCGTAGGGCCTGTTCTGAAATTTGCCTAAAAAAGATATCATTTTTTTAATTGCATTTTTTACACAAAACTTTTTCTAAAAAATATGTATTACCCTTTAGATTCATGCTTTTGTAGATATTACGCATTAAAAAGTGAATTGAACTTAATTACAAATGTAATTCATTTGAAAAAAGAAAGAAAAAAAATACAAAAATATAAAGAAGATGATTAAAGAGAAAAAAGAAATAAAAAAATACTTGTACTGATAGTTTAAGTTCAAAACTTTGGTCTTAATTTCCGTCAACTTGAAAATTTTTTCTGGCTCGGCCAATGATCATATACATTAAAGTGGTAACTAAAGTACTGCGCTGATATATAGCTGATCAAATTCAAAATGGGTACAGCAACAAAGAAAAAAATGGTTCTTTTACATGCAGAAATGAGAATTGGCCTTGCATACGACAAATGATAAACAGGGGAATTTGGTCATACACAGTCATTGGCTACAGCTTTGTAGCAATTTAGTTAATATTTCTATTGTTTTTGTGATGTATTCCAGCTTTTAAGCATAGTGACAAAATGTTATGTTTATTTGAACGAGAATTTATTTAAGTTTAAACTTTGATATTGCAAAAATAAATAAGATTAGTATTTTAAAAAAGTAATATTGGACATTATGAAAAAGAAATCGCATACTATCTTATAGTAAAGATACTGTTTTAAGACTAAAGTTATGGGGAAAAAAAAAACGTGACATTGAGAGCACCAATGACATTGTTTTAACGGAGATTTTGAACAAGGATCTTTGTTTCTAAAATTTTGTTTACGAACCCTTTCTTCTATAAAAATGCAAAATCGTGAGAAATGTCTAAAGGGGTTCAACAATAAAAATGTCCTTTTTTTAAAGGTAATTTCCTCTTCAAACTTAACTGTTTAATCGAATTTTCTTTTGAAAAATTAGCCTGATTTTGGAAAATGCAAACACTCAGAGCTTTCTGATTGAATTATAATTCAAGAATATTTGTGTCAACGTGATGTTGCATTACTAATAAAGTATTAACCTTATATTTAGGCGTGAAAGATCTCAATCAAAATAATATTGTACAACCTGATCTAACAATTTTGAATTAACAGATAAAACAACAATAATATTCCTCCAAATAAGATAAAGTAAAAGGCCAAAAAACACATGCAAAGTGAGAGTGAGTGTGAAAAGGATGAGAAGGAAAATTTCTAGTTGGATTTTGATGCTTTTCAATCACGCACCCTAAGAAAATTCCCTAACCACACTTGCAGTTTGGAGAATTTTTTTTAACAGTTTTATTTATTTATTTATTTTTTACAAAATTATACCCTACATTTTGAGATTTTCAAAAGATTATACTTTATATTTTGAATTGTATCATATTTATACCGTCAGATTTTGAATTGATGATCACTTCATACATTTTTCACTGTCAAAAGGTCAATTTTGCCACTAAAAATACTTAAAAACCCTTAAAAGAAAAAAATGATTAAGAATAAGAATAAGATAAGAAAAGATAAAAATCCAAAATATGTCAAAAACATTTAGGTCAATTTTATCGCCAAAATCAACCTTTGACTGAAAAAGAGTAAGGATTCAACATAAATTTAAAATGTTAAGGTATAAATTTGATACGGTTCAAAAATATAAGATACGATTTTTTTGATAATTAACCTCAAAATGCATGTATAAAAATGAAAAAGAAAAAAATGGACAGAAAGCACACCAACTCCATGACAGACAGGTCTTTGTTCAACAAAGGCGTCTAACGAGTATTGTTCAAACTTTCAAGTGTGTTCTTTCATGGAAATTTAAGTCCCATATATCTTCACGTTACATTTTAGATGCACTTAAGTGTACTGATATTGAAAGTAAGAAAAACTGTATAAGTGGGAATACAGAGACCATATTTTTGTTGACCGATGACAAACACACTCTAATAGGTCCATTGTTGAAAACTCTGCCATTCCTTTACACAACGCATTTACTGCCAAATCAAACACAAAAACAAAAACATATATCCTTTGATGATCAGTTTAGCTAAGCATACTCGAGAAGATAATGATTAACTTTCTCTATCTCTCACTCTCTCTTCTTCCAAATGACTAAAATTAACAAAATATCACAGAGATTACTCCATTTGCAATTTGGATTCTCTCTAATCCAGAGGGTACAAATATGTGTACAAGGATCTTTTCTTGAAGCAATAAATGATATCTAACACTAGTATACTACATACTATTTTTGATTGGTTTGCTTTATACATCATTAAGTCTCCGTTGACCATTATTATCTGTAGGTCCACTATCAGAAAAGTGGTGCCATTTGTGTTCCTCCAATCATCATCTAAAAAAAGCTCAAAATTTTCTCAATAAGTTAGCAACTTTGCCGTTGGTTTTTCCCACCAAATCCATAGCCTGATTGTGAAAAACATCAGACACAAGACATCTCCCAAAATGAGTCAGCTGAAACAGAACTGAAAAACCAAAAAAGCCAGAAACCTCCCAATCTCTTCAAAATGACTAAAACAAACCAGAAATCTCTCACAATCCCATTTCACATCTTTATCTTCCTCATCTTTCTCAGCCATGGAGTGCTCTCCGAAACACTCCAGGAACAAGAACGATCAGTCCTTTTGAAGCTAAAGCAACACTGGGGAAACATTTCCTTCATGGATGAGTGGACCCCATCAAGCAATTCTCATTGTTCTTGGCCTGGAATCACCTGCACGTCCAATTCCGTCACAGGGCTGTCACTCAGAAATGTGAATATCACTGGACCCGTTCCATCCTTCATATGTGACTTGAAGAATGTCACAACCATTAATCTTGGGGATAACTATATCCCAGGAGAGTTTCCAAGAGCTGTTTTCAACTGTTCAAAGCTCGAAGCTTTGGACCTCTCTGAAAACTACTTTGTTGGAACGCTTCCCGATGACATTGACAAACTGGCTAAGCTCCAACGTCTAGTCCTCGGAGGTAATAACTTCACTGGTGATATCCCACCTGTTATTGGGAAGCTGCAAGAGCTTAAGGTCCTGGCTTTAGGAAGCAATCTGTTTAATGGCTCTTTAGCACCAGAAATTGGTGACTTGTCAAATCTCGAAGATTTGAGGTTGGCCAATAATGGTCTACTTGTGCGATCAGAGCTGCCTTCCAATTACACCCAGTTGAGGAAGTTGAAAATTCTATGGGTTTTCAACTCAAACTTGATTGGAGAAATACCGCAAAGTATTGGAGACATGGAAGCACTGGAATGGGTGGATTTATCCCGGAATGACTTGCATGGAAAAATCCCCGACGGGTTGTTCATGTTGAAGAATTTGAGCGTAGTATTCCTTTTCATGAACAAACTTTCTGGTGATGTTCCTCAAGTAGTTGAAGCTCTGAACTTGGGTATGATCGATCTTTCGGAGAACAATTTAACCGGAAAAATACCAGAAGACTTTGGGAAGCTAACTAAGTTGACAAGCTTGGACCTCTCAGAGAACAAATTTTCAGGCCAAATTCCAACCCAACTTGGTCTTTTAGCACTACGTTTCCTGGAACTTTCTTCCAATAACTTCACCGGGACAATCCCTCGTGAATTTGAGAATGTTCGATATTCCGGAACCTTTTGGAACAATCCGGGTCTTCGTGGAAATTGCAGAGTGTTAGGCATAGATACCTGCAATCCAAAATCCCAAGACCGCAAACGACTTTCAACCCAACATCTTGCTATGATCATATCAGCAAGCATAGCAGTCCTTTTGTTGACGATGCCCTCCGTATTCTTCGTAATTGTCAGACGTAACCAAGGGAAAGAAGAAGTGGATTTGAAATGGGAGCTCACCACATTCCGAAGGTTGAATTTCACAGAATCAAATATTTTGCCTGGACTGACTGATCATAACTTGATTGGAAGCGGCGGCTCGGGAATAGTCTACCGTGTTCCTGTTAATGACCAAGGCGACATTGTGGCTGTAAAAAGAATACGGAACAACAGGAAGGTGGATCACAGGCTTGAGCACGAATTCCTTTCGGAAGTGAAGATATTGAGCTCAATCAAATATGTTGTGTTTCAAGTGAGAGCTCAAAGCTCCTCGTATACGAGTGCCTAGAAAATAAAAGCTTAGACCGATGGCTGCACAGAAAAAATAAGCAAACTATGGTCTCAGCTCCTCATTCTACCCCTCAAATCATGCTTGACTGGCCGAAGAGGTTAAAAATCGCTATCGGGGCTGCTCGGGGTCTCTGCTACATGCACCATGATTGCTTGCCACCAATTATGCACAGAGACATCAAGTCGAGCAACATATTGCTGGACTCCGATTTCAATCCAAAAATTGCAGATTTTGGTCTAGCTAAGTTGTTAGTGAAGCAAGGTGAATTGGCCACAATGTCAGCCATAGCTGGTACTTTTGGCTACATTGCTCCAGGTACATTCCATGCCAGAGGACATTCATATGTTGATTATTTAGCCTGAAATTTTTTTTTTATTTTTTTTTTTCAATTTGTTAGAGGACGTTCATATGTTGATTATTATAGATCGGTTTTGTCCTGATAGTTGATCCTAATATAAGCTACATGCCAACTAAGAAACACTCATCACTCAAATACTAACACTATTACATGATAATTCTTTTACTATTCTAAAGGAGAGAGGATAAAAGAAATACTTTTGCAAATTCAGTAAAGAGCAACTTATGCAATCATCAATGGTTTTTAACCAATCACGTTACAAATTCGCATGCCTGTTGAGATTTTTTTACTTGGCAAGTTCTAACCAAGTAAAGGAGAAAATAATAATGATCACACTACTTTCATTTTGCATTTTCTTTTTGCAAGAATAAAAAGCACTTCATTATATGAATTTGCAGAGTACGCGCGTACGGCGAGAGCGAACGAGAAGATCGACGTTTATAGCTTTGGGGTCGTCCTGTTGGAGCTGGCAACCGGAAGAGAAGCAAGAGAGGGCGACGAGTACACTTCGCTTGCCCAGTGGGCGTGGCGTCACCTTCAAGAAGATAAGCCCATAGAAGAAGCCTTGGACGAAGATATAAAAGAACCAAACAATGTGGAAGAAATGAGTTGTGTTTTCAAGCTGGGGATCATCTGTACGGGTACTCAGCCTTCCACAAGGCCTTCCATGAAGGATGTTCTAACAGTCTTGCTCCGTTGCAGCCGGTAAAAGTTTGGTCTACTTAAACACAATGTATCTTCAAGAAAATCAATCAGCTATCTTCATCAAGCCACAAATCAAGCGTGAATGCGACTAATAGAATATTTATTTGACATCATCCAATCCTGCTAACTAATTACTATGAAAAGTACTTAATTAGTACTTTTGTTTTTAAATACTAAATAGATGTATCATATAATATTTTACTAAAATATTATCATCACGATGCAAATTCTTGGGGTAGAGAATATAATTAAATTTAGCACGACGCCCACATATTTACCAACTTAAAGAAACGTGGAAGAGGTTATCTTGGTAGGAAATTATCATCTAAAAATCAATTGCCTATAGATAATAGTAAATTGTAGAATTATCATCTAAAAATCAATTTCCAACCTAGTTTTATCCCTATCATATAACTCAACAACCAATATTGTAGAATTACTATATGAAACATCATGAAAGTTTGGGCTGTCCCAATCCGATTTTAAAAATGGGAAGTCGGCCAAGCCCCAGCCCTAAAGCCCGATGTGCCTAGGACTGGGCTGAGCCGGCCCGGACTTTTATGAAGAAAATCTAAAAATAAAATAAAATTGAAGCACTTCGTGCCGGTCCTTCTTGAAAATAATTTAGAACCTAAAGTATCAGTCCAGCCCGACCAGAGAGTTAGGACTTGACCAGATACGGATTAATAGTGACGGGCTCAAGATCAACACGTTTAATTAGGCCCAAACTTACAACTCGATTTAGGATTTAGAGAAAAAAATAGATAATTTACCTTTGAGAATGTGTGAGTCTAAACTGCTTAATAAATATCCTTTTATTATTCTAATTATTTAACTAAAAAGAATATAAATAAAGAGTAAAAATCGTAACTCATATATTTTTAAAAAGTATTTGTCAAAATTTCTGAAAATTCAAGGTTAGTCAGGCACAAGATCAAGTTTGAAGGCCAACTCTAGACAAAGAAAAACGTTCAAATACGTCTTATGAATTCCACTGTTTTCAATATATATATATATATATATGGTTGTTGATTTTGCTGATTCGAATTTTTAATTTAAGTTGAGATGTAATTTTATATAAGAGCTTTTTACTGTAGTAAAAAAGTTAGATGTGATTGTTTGTGAAGAATTTTTACTGTAATAAAACTCGAATTTTAAACTCAAATCAACGAAATGAACGGATTAACGTGACTAGTTACGACTAATTACTTCCTTTTACGACTCTACCTTCTAAAATGAGCGCACATGCATGTCAGATGTTCAATTCTATCTATCTTGAAAAATAAACAAAAGGAGAATAACATCTTGCAGATAAATTTGCTAAAAAAAAATTTAATTTTTGATAAAAAAAAACTATCTGCTATTTTTAATCATAGTAACGATAATAACATTAAAAAAAAATCAAAAAAATAAAAGCAAAAAAAAAAAAAAGGAATAACATTGCTCTTTTTAATTGTCTTTAAATTCCACGTGTCAAAACGAACAGAATACACATGCTCATTCATTCATTAGTTTTCGCGGACTTGTTTTTTTTTTTTTTTTTTTTTTTGAAAGGGGTTTTCGCGGAGTTCGACAAACCAGAAACACATATCTTTCTTTATTTAATAAAAAAAGAGAAAAAAAAAAAGAAAGAAAAAGAAAAAAATTGATCAAATCTATGGGTGCCGAGAACCAAACAGTGAAAACGACGTTGCTCGACTTCGAGGAAAAAGCGCAAACAAAGCCCTCCTTTTTCCAATCCACAAATTCCTCCCTTCCCTGTTTGGCCGAAAAGAGAAGCCTTTTTTTTCCCTCCATACTCAATTCTCGAAATTGGCAATTCCTGGGAAAATGGAAAATCAAATCACACCAAACGGTTCCGAAGCTCCAACGAACTTCTCCGCCCTCAATTGTATCGATATCTCCAATCCCGATATTCACCACTCCGTCTCTTTGCTCAAACAGGTTCGAGTAAAGTTTGATCTTTTTTGTTGGCTAAGCTATAATATGAAGTGATTAAAGTTGTTGTTGTTGTTGTTGTTTTATTTTTTTTTTCTGGTATAAAGGCATGTTTGGATTGCGGGTTTTTCTATGTGGTGAATCACGGGCTAAGCCAGGAATTCATGGACGAGGTGTTTGCGCAGAGCAAGAGGCTTTTCGATTTGCCGTTGAGCGAGAAGATGAAGCTCTTGAGGAACCACAAAAACAGGGGATATACCCCTGTTCTTGACGAAATTCTTGATATTGAAAACCAAGTTCACGGTTTGTTCTGTTCTGTTCTGTTCTGTTTTTTTTTTTTTTTTTTCTCATTCCCTTTTATTTGTTTAATTCAGTATCATAATGAACAGTTTTTCTTTAATTGTAACTTTGGGGTTTGATTTTGTCTTTCTTTGTAATTTGTATGAAGTAGGAGATTACAAGGAGGGGTACTACATAGGTGTTGAGGTAGCTGAGGATGACCCAGAAGCAGAAAAACCATTTTATGGTCCTAATGTTTGGCCTAAACAAGGTAACTAGATGTACTAACTATATAATAATTAAAAAAAGGATCTTTTTTTTTTCTTGTTGGTGAATGGGATTTAGCTAAATGTTTCTTTGAAGGAGTTTTTTACAGTCCTTACCCGTGGTGCGTGTTTCTGAATGTTAAATTTGATTAACGAGTTTTCATTTGTGAAGGCTAAGAAGTCACTGATTTTTTATTTTTAAATAACTTTTGTCATGTTCTTTCAAGATCAATTGCCTGGGTGGCGAGAGACCATGGAGAGATTTCATAGAGAGGCATTGTAAGTGTGTCTCCCCATGTGACATTGTCTGTCTATTAATCTTCGTATGTATTCTTTTGGATTGCAATTGATTTTCTATTTCTGATAAGAATATGTTAAAACCTTGTGATGTCTTTCTAAGCCAAATAAAAAATCCTTCTGTCAATTTCAGAGAGGTGGCTAGAGCAGTTGCAAGGATCATAGCTCTTGCTCTCTGTCTGGACGAGAACTTCTTTGATAAGCCAGAAATGCTTGGCGAGCCTATTGCAACGTTGCGGTTACTGCATTATGAAGGTCAAATTTCAGTCTGAAGTTTCAAAAATAATCAACGAGATCATCAGCTATGAAGTTCATATGTCATTGTCATTTCTTTCGCAGGTCAAACTTCTGATCCTTCAAAGGGACTATTCGGAGCTGGTGCTCATTCTGACTTTGGCTTGATAACCCTCTTGGCTACCGATGATATCGTAGGTCTCCAAGTAAGTAGATATGAATCATGATAATCTTTTTAATTTCATAGTTTGGTTGTTTGTTCGAATAATTTCATATTGGTTGCAGATATGCAAGGACAAGGATGCTAAACCTCAAGTATGGGAATATGTTGCACCACTGAAAGGGTTAGTAACCAGACGATGCTTCCTCTTGGATTTCAAAAAACTCATGGAAAAAAAAAAAAAATCGAGAGTGGTGACTTTTGTTTATGGTTTTTACTTGCAACAGAGCATTTATTGTGAACCTTGGTGATATGTTGGAGCGCTGGAGCAACTGCATATTCAAGTAATGTTCATTGCAGTGCAACGCGCAATCTTATTTTCATGTATAGGTGAATTCTGGCTTTTTATAATTCATGTTTTTGTTTTCTTCCTTATAAGGTCCACACTGCACAGAGTCCTGGGAAATGGTCAAGACAGATATTCTGTAAGACTTCTTTTCTTTTGCATCTCTTTGGGTGTATGTGTGTGGATATGTATGTTCACCCCATTCACACTAAACTTAGAACAACCTGATAGCTTATTCATAATCTCTCCATTGAACCTGTTGAAATCATTTGAACCAATTGCTTTCAAAATGTATAGTAGAATGATGAAAGAGGATTTTGTTTTTTGTTTTCTTTAACTTTTCATAATAAATACGCTCAATCCCCATAGATTGGTTATCAAGCTATTTGTTAAATAGAACTCCAACCCCATTTTTATTTGTGTCTTTCTGCCTTGGACATGATACGTATCACACATGATATCACGTAATGGTTCTATGGGCTTTATATGTTCTTTACTACCTTCGCAGATTGCATACTTTGTGGATCCTAGTTACGAATGTCTTGTTGAGTGTTTGCCTACTTGTAAATCAGAAAAAGATCCTCCAAAGTAAGTCATCTTCTAAAAAACTTCTCAGATCATTTACTTCAAATCGTTTATGTCGCATATCACATTGGTCAGGTTTCCTCCAATCTTATATGGGACTTACCTTAGCCAACGCTACAAGGATACACAGGCTGATCTGAACGTATACAAGAAACATCAAACACAACAGATTCTCTTAGAATAAGTTATTGGAGATGGATTCCCAAAGGGGCAGCTAAAGATGAACGGTTCTACCAATTACCATATCAAGTAAACATAATGTATGTCCACCGGCAGAGAGGTCTCATTTATATGGTAATGAAACTGTATTTGTTTCATCACTTTCCTTGGGAATGTAACGACATTTTCCGAGAACAGTTCACGTGGCTCTTATTCAATACCTCGTTGACCCATTTTTTTTCCTCCTTTCCCTGAACTTGCCTAGATATGTAAAAAAGATGAAAATCTCTTGGTTACATTATTTAATTTTAAAGCTTTAAGGGCGTTGTTATTTGTGAAAACATCCAACGAGTGATAACTGATAAATAATAAATATTGTAATCTTTTATTTTGGTGCGGTTTTGTAATTAATTTATGTTTTTTTATTTTGTGGTTTTTTCTTTAAAGGCAATTTATGAGTATATACTAGCTCTTTTGAACGTTAGGTTGTAATTTTTTATGTTGTGTGGAATCGGAATGTCCGTATGAATATGTTGGATGTATAATTCTTGAGGGTTAATATAATTTCTAAAAATATTAGCAATCACATAAGCGTTATTATAATTTATTTCGTTAGAAAGTTGTGATTATGATATTAATAAAAACAAGAAGTGTCAGTACTTTCCTAATTAGACAAATCAGGTGATGGCATTTTTCAAAGTCTAGAGGTCCAGCAAGTCAACAGCCGGACGGCAAGAAAATGGAAAAGATAAATATAAACGGAAGTTGATTGAATCACTTTTGCTAATAAATTTTTTTAATATATATATATTTTGTTCTCTTTATCTCTTTTATCTTTGTTCATTGTTAGTGGTGGCAAATGTTCGCACTTCTCGTGTTGCTAGAATTAACAGCATGGGCATCCCACTTACGTGTAAAAATGGCTGGCATGGAAAAATTCCCGACAGTCTATTCACATTGAAGAATTTGAGCCAAGTTATGCTGTTTAAGAACAGACTTACTGGAGAGATTCCTCAAGTGGTTGAAGCTCTGAACTTGACAGTCATCGATCTTTCAGAGAATGATTTAACCGGAAAAATACCAAAAGACTTTGAGAAGCTAACGAATTTGACATACTTGGCCTTGTTTTCCAATCAATTATCAGGCAGTATTCCGGAGGGCATAGGCAGATTACCAGCCTTGGTAGATTCCAAATTGTGGGACAACAATCTTTCGGGCGCGTTTCCTCCAGATTTGGGCAACTACTCAGATCTCAGAGAGTTCCAAGTAAGCTCCAATAGGCTCACATGGAAATTGCCTGAACACGTGTATATCCTAATGTTAGCCTGTTTGAGTGGTGGCTCTGTAAAGAGTTCTCACAGACTCTTGAGGTCTTTTAACACTCTCATTCTCTAGAGACATCATTCACATTATAAGCTTCAAGAAATGGACAGTGGTAAGTTGGAGTCTGCAAAACTTTGAGTACCTAATTTTTGTCTTAATTGATTTCCAAGGATTTGCTTGAAGTTTACTACTTAGCGAGTGGATGCATGTCTTAAGTGAGATAAAGTCTGTAAGAAGTTGTGTGAATATAAATTAGAGGTGTGTCTAGCCTATTTGTTTCACCAATTTGAACTTTGGTTCAAATCTTTATACTACAGTGTTTTCTCTCGTAAAAAATTTTAAATTTCTGTTAAACTTTTAGCGTCGTTTTTAAGTGAGTGCTAGTATAATAGTGTGTGTTGATTCTGTAGTTTTGGCATTCAAAATCCAAGGAGTATCATATCCTTGTAATTACATTTTATATATTTAAAGTAGTTACTCACGTGTTGTTGTGTAAAGGCTTACGGCAACCACTTTAGCGGGGAGCTTCCTGAATCAATAGGAAATTGCAACTCACTTTTTAGTTTCAGTGTAGCAAACAATAGGCTTTCTGGAGAAGTTCCTAGCGGTCTGTGGACATCCTTGAAATTGACACTGTTGATGCTGAACAACAACTCATTTACCGGTGAGCTTCCTGAGAAGTTTACCTTGAGTCTTCTGCTTCTGAATATCAGTAACAACAGGTTTTCAGGTAATATTCCAACTGGGGAATCGTCCTGGAGGAATATAGTGATATTTGATGCCGGGAATAATCTCTTGACAGGAACCATTCCTCACGAATTATTTACTCTTTCTCATTTTATAGAACTTTCTCTTAGTGGGAATCAGCTCACAGGGGATCTACCATCAGATGTAGAGTCATGTATGTCATTACATACTCTTAATGTGAGTCGGAATCGACTCACCGGACAAGTTCCGGAGAAACTTGGTCTCTTACCTTTTCTTGCATACTTGGACCTCTCAGAGAACAAATTTTCAGGCCAATTTCCAACCCAACTTGGTCTTTTAGCACTACTTTTCCTGAATCTTTCTTCCAATAACTTCACCGGGACAATCCCTCGTGAATTTGAGAATGTTGTATATTCCAAAAGCTTTTTGAACAATCCAGGTCTTTGCGGAAGTAACACAGTGTTAAACATAAAGCCCTGCAATCCAAAATCCCAAGACCACAAACGACTTTCAGCCCTATGTCTTGCTATGATCATATCAGCAAGCATAGCAGTCCTTTTGTTGACGATGCCCTCCGTATTCTTCGTAATTATCAGACGTAACATAGGGAAGTCAGACGTAACCAAGGGAAAGAAGAAGTGGATTTGAAATGGGAGCTCACCACATTCCGAAGGTTGAATTTCACAGAATCAAATATTTTGCCTGGACTGACTGCTCATAACTTGATTGGAAGCGGCGGGTCGGGGAATGGTCTACCGTGTTCCTGTTAATGACCAAGGCGACATTGTGGCTGCAAAAAGAATACGGAACAACAGGAAGGTGGCACACAGGCTTGAGCACGAATTCCTTTCGGAAGTGAAGATATTGAGCTCAATTCAACACGCCAACACAGTGAAACTCCTATGTTGTATTTCAAGTGAGAGCTCAAAGCTCCTCGTCTACGAGTGCCTAGAAAATAAAAGCTTAGACCGATGGCTGCACAGAAAAAATAAGCAAACTATGGTCTCAGCTCCTCATTCTACCCCTCAAATCATGCTTGACTGGCCGAAGAGGTTAAAAATCGCTATCGGGGCTGCTCGGGGTCTCTGCTACATGCACCATGATTGCTTGCCACCAATTATGCACAGAGACATCAAGTCGAGCAACATATTGCTGGACTCCGATTTCAATCCAAAAATTGCAGATTTTGGTCTAGCTAAGTTGTTAGTGAAGCAAGGTGAATTGGCCACAATGTCAGCCATAGCTGGTACTTTTGGCTACATTGCTCCAGGTACATTCCATGCCAGAGGACATTCATATGTTGATCATTTAGCCCCTTTTTTTTTTTTCATTTGTTAGAGGACGTTCATAGGTTGATTATTATAGATCGGTTTTGTCCTGATAGTTGATCCTAATATAAGCTACATGTCAGTTATATGCCAACTAAGAAATACTCATCACTCAAATACTAACACAATCATATGATAATTCTTTTACCATTCTAAAGGAGAAAGGAAAAATTCGAGTTGGATTTAGTTGATTTTCAATCACGCACCCTAAGAAAATTCTCTAACCACACTTGCAGTTTCGAGAATTTTTTTAACGGTTTTTTTTTTTTATTAACAAAATTACATCCTGCATTTTTTAGATTTTTAAAAGATCATACTTTGTATTTTGAATTGTATCACATTTATACCTTCATATTTTAAATTTATGCTCAATTCATACATTTTTCACTGTCAAAGGTCAATTTTGACACTAAAAATACTTTAAACCCCTTGCATAAAAAATTATTAAGAATAAGAATAAAATAAGAAAAAATAAAAATCCAAAAAATGTCAAAGACATTTAGGTCAATTTTATCGCCAAAATCAACCTTTGACTGAAAAAAAGGTAAGGATTCAACATAAATTGGAAGGCCAACTCTAGACAATGAAAAACGTTCAAATACGTCTTATATGAATTCAACTTTTAAATATATATATATATATTGTAACATGACTAGTTACGACTAATTATTTTTTTTTAGGACCCTACCCTTCAAAACGAGCGCATATGCATGTATGTTTAATTTTATCTATCTTGAAAAATAGATAAAATGAGAATAACAGATAAATTTGCTCAAAAAAAAATTTTAATTTTTGATTAAAAAAACTATCTGCTATTTTTAATCATAGTAACGATAATGTTATTAAAAGAAAAAAAAAAAAAAAAAAAAACAGGAATAACATTGCTCTTTTTAATTTTCTTTAAATTCCACGTGTCAGACGAACAGAATACACATGCTCATTCATTCATTAGTTTTCGCGGACTTTTTTTTTTTTTTTTTTTTTTAAAGGGGTTTTTGCCGGGGGTTCGACCAGAAACACATACATATCTTTCTTTATTTAATAAAAAAAAAAGAGAAAACAACTGATCAAATCTATTGGAGCCAAGAACCAAACAGTGAAAACGACGTTGCTCGTCTTCGCGGAAAAAGCGCAAAAAAAGCCCTCCTTTTTCCAAGCCACAAATTCCTCCCTTCCCTGTTTGGCAGAAAAGAGAAGCCTTTTTTCCCCTCCCATACTCAATTCTCGAAACTCGCAATTCCTGGAAAAATGGAAAATCAAATCACACCAAACGGTTCCGAAGTTCCAACGAACTTCTCCGCCCTCAATTGTATCGATCTCTCCAATCCCGATATTCACCACTCCGTCTCTTTGCTCAAACAGGTTCGAGTAAAGTTTGATCTTTTTTGTTGGCTAAGCTGTAATATGACGCGATTAACGTTGTTGTTGTTGTTTTTTTTTTTTTCCTGGTATAAAGGCATGTTTGGATTGTGGGTTTTTCTATGTGGTGAATCACGGGATAAGCCAGGAATTCGTGGACGAGGTGTTTGCGCAGAGCAAGAGGCTTTTCGATTTGCCGTTGAGCGAGAAAATGAAGCTCTTGAGGAACCACAAAAACAGGGGATATACCCCTGTTCTTGACGAAATTCTTGATATTGAAAACCAAGTTCACGGTTTGTTCTGTTCTGTTCTGTTTTTTTTTTTTTTCTCATTCCTTTTTATTTGTTTAATTCAGTATCATAATGAACAGTTTTTCTTTAATTGTAACTTTGGGGTTTGATTTTGTCTTTCTTTGTAATTTGTATGAAGTAGGAGATTACAAGGAGGGGTACTACATAGGTGTTGAGGTAGCTGAGGATGACCCAGAAGCAGAAAAACCATTTTATGGTCCTAATGTTTGGCCTAAACAAGGTAACTAGATGTACTAACTAAATAATAATAAAAAAAGGATCTTTTTTTTTCTTGTTGGTGAATGGGATTTAGCTAAATGTTTCTTTGAAGGAGTTTTTTACAGTCCTTACCTGTAAATTTGGTCAACGAGTTCCCATTTGTGAAGGCTAAGAAGTCACTGATTTTTTTTTATATTACTTTTGTCATGTTCTTTCAAGATCAATTGCCTGGGTGGCGAGAGACCATGGAGAGATTTCATAGAGAGGCATTGTAAGTGTGTCTCCCCATGTGACATTGTCTGTCTATTAATCTTCATATGTCTTCTTTTGGATTGCAATTGATTTTCTATTTCTAATAAGGATATGTTAAACCTTGTGATGTCTTTCTAAGCCAAATAAAAAATCCTTTTGTCCATTTCAGAGAGGTGGCTAGAGCAGTTGCGAGGATCATAGCTCTTGCTCTCGGTCTGGACAAGAACTTCTTTGATAAGCCAGAAATGCTCGGCGAGCCTATTGCAACGTTGCGGTTACTGCATTATGGAGGTCAAATTCCAGTCTGAAGTTTCAAAATTAATCAACGAGATCATCAGCTATGAAGTTCATATGTTATTGTGATTTCTTTTGCAGGTCACACTTCTGATCCTTCAAAGGGACTATTCGGAGCTGGTGCTCATTCTGACTATGGCTTGATAACCCTCTTGGCTACAGATGATATCGTTGGTCTCCAAGTAAGTAGATATGAATCAAGATAATCTTTTTAATTTCATAGTTTGGTTGTTTGTTCGAATAATTGCATATTTGTTGCAGATATGCAAAGACAAGGATGCTAAACCTCAAGTATGGGAATCTGTTGCACCACTGAAAGGGTTTGTAACTGGACAATGCTTCCCCTTGGATTTCAAAAAACTCATGGAAAAAATAAAATAAAAATAGAGTGGTGACTTTTGTTTATGGTTTTACTTGCAACAGAGCATTTATTGTGAACCTTGGTGATATGTTGGAGCGCTGGAGCAACTGCATATTCAAGTAATGTTCATTGCAGTGCAACGCGTAATCTTATTTTCATGTATAGGTGAATTCTGGCTTTTTATAATTCATGTTTTTTTTCCTTCCTTATAAGGTCCACACTTCACAGAGTCCTGGGAAATGGTCAAGACAGATATTCTGTAAGACTTCTTTTCTTTTGCATCTCTTTGGGTGTATGTGTGTAGATATGTATGCACAACCCATTCACACTAAACTTAGAACAACCTGATAGCTTATTCATAATCTCTCCATTGAACCTGTTGAAATCATTTGAACCAATTGCTTTCAAAATGTTTTGTAGAATGATGATAAGAGGATTTTGTTTTTTGTTTTCTTTAACTTTTCATAATAAATACGCTCAATTCCCATAGATTGGTTATCAAGCTATTTGTTAAATACAATTCAAATCCCATTTTTATTTGTGCCTTTCTGCCTAGGACATGATACGTATCACACGTGATATCACGTAATGGTTCTATGGGCTTTATATGTTCTTTACTGTCTTCACAGATTGCATACTTTGTGGAACCTAGTCACGAATGTCTTGTTGAGTGTTTGCCTACTTGTAAATCAGAAAAAGATCCTCCAAAGTAAGTCATCTTCTAAAAACTTCTCATCTCAACATAATAAGATCATTTACTTCAAATTATTTATGCCGCATATGACATTGGTCAGGTTTCCTCCAATCTTATGTGGGACTTACCTTAGCCAACGCTACAAGGATACACACGCTGATCTGAACGTATACAAGAAACATCAAACACAACAGATTCTCTCAGAATAAGTTATTGGAGATGGATTCCCAAAGAGGCAGCTATCGATAAAGGGCTCTACCAATTACCATATCAAATAAACATAACGGAAATAGTAGAAAATAGGCTAATATGAAAAGTTTAAGAAAGTATATATGTCAATTTTTAGTTATAAAAATTAAGTTATGGTTCATAATTAGATAAGTTATGGACAAACTTGTCAAGTTATGGTTTATAGCCAGACAAGTTATGGACAAAAACCGTGAATTATAGATAATAACTTGTCAAGTTATGATTCATAACCAGACAAGTTATGGACAAAAATAGTAATTTGGCATATTTATTAACTTATGTAAACTATTGACTTATTAATTTTAATTCATCTCAAATCCTGGCCTATTTTCATCTTTCTCTCTAAACATAATGTATGTTAACCGGCCGAGAGGTCTCATTTATATTGTAATGTAACTGTATTTGTTTGATTGTTTCATCACTTTCCTTGGGAATGTAACGACATTTTCCAAGAATAGTTCACGTGGCTCTTATTCAATACCTCGTTGACCCTTTTTTTTTCCCCCTTTCCCTGAACTAGCCTAGATATGTAAAAGCAACAACTCGAGCAATTTAGATAAAACTCTCTTGTTCACCAAAAAAAAAAAAAAAAAAAAAGATGAAAATCTCTTGGTTACATTATTTAATTTTAAAGCGTTAAGGGCGTTGTTATTTGTGAAAGATCCAACCAATGATAAATGATAAATATTGTAGTCTTTTATTTTGGTGCGGTTTTGTAATTAATTTATGTTGTTTTATTTTGTGGTTTTTTCTTTAAAGACAATTTATGAGTATGTAATAGCTCTTTTGAACGTTAGGTTGAATTGGTTTATGTTATGTGTGGAATCTGAATGTCCGTAGGAATATGTTGGATGTATAATTCTTGAGGGTTAATATAATTTTTAAAGATATTAGCAATCACATACGCGTTATTATAATTTATTTCGTTAGAAAGTTTTAATTATGATATTAACAAAAACAAGAAGTGTCAGTAATTTCCTAATTAGAAAAATCAGGTGATAGCATTTTCTAAAATCTAATAAGATGTTTAGTTTATGAGTTCAGAGTCATGAATTATAATTTTTATTTTTAAAATTTAAATTTTTTATAAGAAAAAGACACTATAGAGAATGGAGAATCATAATTTAAAATTAAAAATGAACTCTTAAAATAAACATCTCCACGAGGTTTAGTAAAGTCAACAGCGGGACAGCAAGAAAATGGAAATGATAAAAATATTTGCTGATAATTTTTTTTAATATATATATATTGTTGGTTCTCTTTAGCTCTTTTATCTTTGTTCGTTGTTAGTGGTGGCAAATGTTCGCACTTCGCGTGTTGCTAGAATTAACAACATGGGCATCCCACTTACCTGTAAAATGGCCTTGTCTTCTTCAAAATGTCGCTTTTGACTTGAAAAAGACTCCCCTTTATATTGCTGATTTGATTCCGACGGTCTGTCCATGAAGTTTATCCGGTTTTATTTAAATTAAAATAAAGGTTTTTTTACAAGATTATACATGTCTCGTTTATTTCACCGATTCGAGTTTTATTATAATAAAAAAATTTCAAAGACAGTTACATCTAACTTTTTTACTACAATAAAAAATTATCACATAAAATTACATCTTACCTTAAATTTAAAATTCAAATTAGCTAATTAAATCTAATTGTTGAATTTTAATTAAAATTATATTAAAATAAGCAGAATAAATTATTACTGATACATAATGTTGAAAAATAAAACTCTATGGTAGTACATATATAGTAAGAATCTCTTTAAAACAAATTAATTGATTAATTAATTGCCTGTAAATGATTGAAGTAATTCAAAGATTCCTTTTACATCCACGAACTGTTAAAAGTAAATAAATAAATAACACCCACTTTTTCTCCCTTCCATTATAGCTGATTACAAAAGATAGTTGTCTTGTTTGAACAATTTTCCGCGAGAAACAAAAGTAGGTCTCCTCACACGACCCACTCAAATATTTATTAGCGAGGTGGCCCCATATGGACACTCAAAGCAACCTTTTTTTTTTTTCGTTTAATGATTTCCGTTTACTTTGATGGTTATGAGTCCACACAAACGACAAAAAAAAAAAAAAAAAAAAAAAAAAAAAAAAAAAAACCAATTCACTAGTAAACGAGTAGGAAAAAGATGAAACTTAAGCCGTTTTTATTAATTAGAACTAGAAAACACAAACACTTTAGAATACAAAAAAAAAAAAAAAAAAAAAAAAAAAAAAAAAAAAAAAAACACCACCCTCACTATGGACTTAGACACACGACACATTACACAAGTGATAACAGACATGTATTATCAAATCTTTTATTCTTTGATGACAGAAATGATAAAACACACTGCCATGATTATTGCAAGAAACTGTTGAACACTGGCCGCATAAGGCTTTTCAACGGTAGCTGCGATAAGTCGGAGTGTACATGCAGCTCTCGGCATACTTGACAAGGTTTCCGGGACGAGGCAGACGAGTAGCCAAACCTTTAAAAGGGAGAAACAGTATAAGTTCACTAGTTAAGATACATAGCTATTTTTCTCACGAGTGAAAATTATGGTACATCCTAAAAAACTTGGAGTGTACGCTTCAGCTCAAATCTCGGCCACTAGATGATGAAAATAAACAATCTTAAGCCTCATTTATTTTACCGATTTAAATTTTCAATTATAATTTTACTACAGTTAAAAATTCTCATAAAAAATCACATTTAATTTTTTCTACTACAGTTAAAAACTCACATAAAGTCACATCTGAACTCGAATTGAAAATTCAAATCAATGAACTAAATGAGGCCGTAATCATTGACTAGAAGCTGAAAAAATTTTCAACGGCTCAGATTGTATCTTCTCATCATCCGCGATTGAGATTGGACTGCACGGTACATCTTAGGGAAGTGGTACACTGGTATGTATTGTATCTTCTTTCTTTCCTTTTTTTTTTTTTCCTTTTTGGGTGGGCATAATGCTTAGAACAAAGAGGAGACTTACCCAGTTCATATGCCTTAGCAGCAACATTAGCAGCAATTTCCGCGGAGATTTTTCTGATGATAGAAAATGGTGGGTAGATCAGTCCCTTTTCATAATTCTCCTCCTTGACTTGTTTTGCCAAGGCTTCGGCTGTTTATAGCACCCAAAAAAAAAAAAAAAAAAAAAAAATTACTAACTTACCAACATGGAATATATTAACATTGAATTACGATTTTTTAATCGTATCATGAAGCAAAAGATCAGTCCCTTTTCATAAATGTTGAGCTGTTTTACTTACAGGCTGCTAGAAGCATCTCATCATGCACACGGATTGCACCAGAGATGACTAACCCCAAACCAAATCCAGGGAAAATGTAAGCATTATTGGCCTGAATTTGAGAACGAAAACATAAAGCTTGGTAAGACACTTTCGGTATTGAAGCCTAATCATGATGAAGGATATGAGACTAAGACACTTTTGGTCAACCTGTCCAGAATAGTAGACTTTCCCGTTGTACTCAATAGGATCAAATGGACTTCCACTTGCGAAAATTGCACGACCCTTGGAGTGAAAACAGGAACAAAAGAACGTTAACTTTACATCCTCTGATGGAACGTCATCTGGACACTAACACAATTAAATTGAACAAGGATGATACAACTATATGTTAGTTACCTCACTCCAAGTGTAAGCTTCTTCAGCTGTGCATTCTGACTGTGAAGTTGGGTTTGAAAGAGCCAAGATGAGAGGTTTCTGCACGTCATTCGTGTATTAAAAAAAGTCAGCAAATGAAGGGTAAAATTCAGCGAAATACGCAGAAAGAAAAACGAGAGAAACAATGGAGGAGGATGTACCTCATTGAAGGAGGTGACAGCTTCAATCACTTCCTTTGTAAACGCTCTTCCAACCCCAGATGATCCAATAAGAACCGTTGGTTTAATAGCCTAGAGTATTATGGAAGCAATATAAGAGAGCAAGAACCATTTTAAAGTTCTTGTGATTCGGATTAAATTAAAGAAACATATGAATATACCTTGACTGCAGATAGGAGATCCTTAATGGGTTCGTGTTCATGAGCCCAAGGTTTCTTGAAGTGTTGAAGTGATTCCTTACGAGAGCTAACAAGCAATCCCTGCAAAATTAGTTACACCATTTATATCAAGTATGAAAAGACTATCCCAGAAAAGTACAAATGAATGTCACAGAAGAATTCTCTTTTTGAGTTTTAGTCTACCTTTGAATCCACAAGCCAGATCTTCTTACGAGTCTCTTCCAAAGGAGCTTTTGTCTACACGTGAAAGTAAATAAATAAACAATCATGACAAAACCATGAAACACAAAGAAGAAAACGCGAACATGTGTCAGAAAGTACCTGCTTTGATATCTCAAGAGCTATTAGCTCTGCTATACCAGTCCCCGCCTATAATCATGAAAGCCCAGATAAAATGAGTTTTATCTCTCAAAGAACACAAAATAAAAATATCCCATAAAAGAGAAAAGAAAAGAGCTTACTTCACCAGCACCAAGGAACAAGAATTTGTGATCAGCCAAGGAACCACCAATCAACTTCAATGCTGCAACAACTCCTGCAAGAACGACAGATGCTGTGCCCTGCACCAAAAGGAACTCGATAGTTCATATTCACATGTTAAGAAAAGTCCTCACAAGTAAAAGAGTGACGAGCAATCTATATCATGCCTGAATATCATCGTTGAAGACGAGATGAGTGGTTCCATATTTTGCTAGCAGCTCAAAAGCATTGTGATTTGCAAAATCTTCGAACTGAAAACATCGACATAACAGCAGCCGAAAAGCTCAAGTAAAACTAATGATTGATCTCATACTGCTGAAAGCTTATGAATAAGCATGTTATATTAACATAAATTTAACCTGTACAATAACTTTTTCCCCGTAGTTCTGCTTGACAGAAGTCATGAACTCCTGCAAAAGATCCGCATATTCCTGGGGATAATGGAAAATTTTCAAAAGATTGATACAAACTGCAATTTGTAGGTCAAGATTATGTACCAAAACTTTAGCAAGAGACATCGGAAGTTATTATACCTGCCCAGTTGCTCTCTTTTGTCTAAGACCAATGTAGAACTCATCATTTAACAACTGCTCATTGTTCGTCCCCACATCGATAGTTATAGGCAAGCACTGCAAAAGAAAAAGGAGGAAAATTCTTTACAAAATTGGAACATTGGAGGCATCAAATCTGGTACCAAATTTTCCTTGAGTTACAAATGGCTATAATGTACATGAAGTAAAGAACAAGAACTGGAAACACTTATTCTAAAAAAGATGCTTACAGATGAAGGACGAAGACCTCCAAGTGCTGTGTACAAAGCCAATTTCCCTAC